ATAACTGTTGCACTTTTTTTTTCATAACCTCCTCTTTAGTGGTGTATATTATGAATTTGCTGAAATATCATGATAAAATGTTGATGTCAGTCATCCAAAAATTAATGAAAACGAAGACTATTCCAGATGTGGTGTGTTCCTTGCATACTAGCTGAGGATAGATCAGTTCTGAGAGAGGCAAAATTTGAAATTATTTGGCTGTAGAATGTAAAATTTTTGTACCATTTATTGTCCATTGTAGAATTTTTTGAGAAAAGGACGAATTCTTCTTTCATAGGATAATTGATTCAACGCCTAATATCTTTGTTAAAAGCCGACCTTCTGCTGCACTGCCTTACCTTATTTTTTGAAATTTTTCTGTGTGATAATTGCCAATTTTTTTTGCTGGGATAATCGACTAAATTAGATACGGAACTAGGACTTGTCAGAGGTGCGCGACTTTATCAGATCAGAATTGCGGTAAAACGAGCTGTAAAGAAAATATCTTTGAAGAAGGATTACTGGGGACCACTTTTAATCTGAATTTTTGTCTATACAGCAGGCAACTTGTCCATCAACAATGAACTTGTGCTCTACAGATGAGAATTTACTAACAGAATTAAAGAGTATGTGCGAGCTCCGCGTTTGTTGTTTCCACTGCAATAAGCTGCTGGTAAAAAAACGAAATTGCCTAGCTCACAAACAACTTGTTGGGACTGCTCTTCATCATCAGATTCAAAAATTTTCGAAATTAAAACGTTACTACTTTCATATTTCAGTGGTTTTTTTTTTGCAGTGGACGAGCCTTGGTTATTTATGAATGCATACATGCTAAATGACACATGCGATTGGAAGGACTTGAATCTAAAATTTATTTTGGCCTGTTATCGCGATTATGTGTTCATTGTGAAAGAAGGCGATATGAATGGTATGGGTTTGTCGAATACTGTTTAGTACCACGATAGTACCACATTGTGGCGGTTGCTTCAACAGTCTTGTTGGTATTTTTGCTGCTATGCTTAGAATTTTGAAAATTCGCATTACTTTTCTGCACTATCCCTAGACCGCAGTGAAACAGGTATCTTACCGATTGGATGATTCTAGCCACATTGTTTTTGAATGTTGTTTGCACTTTTCAGTTAACTTTTGTTTAGTGTTTTTTAGTTAAAGCACCGTAGTAGGTTTTTTTTTTTTT